ATCATCTTTATCTAGATCTTTCATCTCGTCATTGATTAATTTTTTCAGCAGATCGATGAAGTCGGAGACGACAAAGTTGCATGCTGATGGCGGAGGTCGAGCAGATAGAGTGGAGCCCTAATAGAAATACAGAAGGAGGTGGAAAGGAAAAGGATGAGGTATGTAGAAGGTTGAAGGTGGTCAAAGTGGTGGATGGGCGGTGGAAGGTATGTAGAAGGTTGAAGCGGTCAAAGCGGTGGAAGGATCTGGAACTAAAAAGGAGTGGTGGATCGATAACCCACTAAACTTTTATATATATATATATATATATATATATATATATATATATATATATATATATATATATATTAATTACATTATTAAGGGACCAAACTGTAATTCAATAAAAGAAGCAGACCATTTCTGTCAGATAATAAACAGGGACCAATTCTGCCAACTCCTAATACAGTTTATTATTACTATTTTTCATAACTTTAATATATATATAATAATTATTAAAAAACAAAAAATAAAATAAAAATAAAAAACAAAAGAAAAATAAAAAACAACTAAAAGACAAATAAATGAAGAGGACGAGGAGGAGTAGAAAACCCCATTTTTTGTATTTAAATATTGAATGTTTAATGTTATTATAAAATCATCATTTATACCCATCACATACCACATATCTGATGGGTGTCACATTAGCACCACATTCTCCTATCACTAACTTATTTAAATTTAATTCAAAAATACATTAAAATACAAAAAACACATATTTTTTTAATTAAATTTAATTCAAAAACACAATAAAATATTTTTTTTTATTAAACTAGTTTTTTATTCAATGAAACAAGATTACATTAATTTAAAACAAACAACATAAAAAAACATAAAAAACCTTAAAAATACAACCACAAACAACTTAAAACTACTTTTTAAACCTTATTTTTACTCACTAAATTTTGGCACTCTCTTAATTTTCGCCAAGCTTTGACGTGTTTAAACGGTGTGTGTTTCGTGTCTTCATATTGGTTCATGGCCACAGCAAACGGGTCGTTTTCGTGTACGTTGTTTATAACAAAGTTATAAATACCATTGAATTCATGGCATTTAACTCTCATATCGCGATACTTCAAACATATTTTATCAACACTACGATTTTGGCAACCCATTAAATCATGGAAAATGTTTCCAACCTTTATCCAAAAATTAGGAGGCGTTACTGGGTCTTCTAAAGCCGCTACCCATGCTCGTGCTAAGTTCTCTTCTTCATTTTCTGACCAATTCATCATTTTAGGAGCCATTGGTTTTGGAAGAATGTAAAAGAAGTGTGATTTTGTGAGAAAAGAAAGAAGAAACTGTGTGAGTATGTTTAATATAAGTGTAGTATTTATAGAAGAAGTTTAATATGTTTGAAAGGTAAAAAAGAAAAAAAAACAAAAAATTCCGTTGCAAAAGAAACTAGCCGTTGCAAACATCAACCAATAGACTTTTCCGTTTGATTTCGTGGAACACACAAGGGAACACCACGACCACGATCGACCACGACCGGCCGGGATGGTATGCACGGTCGTGGTCGTGGTCCACGTATACCACGAGCCATCTCGTGCTAAGTATTCTGAATGGCCTATGATGTGGTGATTCTCATCTTGTAAGCATGATGACTGTAACAATAACACAAGGATAGTCCGAATAAAAAAATGACATATGAATAGCGTGAACGGAAAAATATCTCATAGCAAGTCATAACGAAAAAATAACACGTTGATAGTCTGAATAAAAAAATAACATATGAATAGTCCGAACGAACAAAAATATTCTAGTCTGAAAGAAAAAAATAACGCAAAAATAGTCCGATCGAACAAAATATGTATTTTTAATAATAATAATAATAATAATAATAATAATAATAATATGTATTTATTAAAATTATTAAAAAAAACAAAAAATAATAAAAAACAAAAAATAAAAGAAAAATAAAAAACAACTAAAAGACAAATAAAGGAAGAGGAGAAGGAGGAGAAAATCCCATTTTTTTGTATTTAAATATTGGATGTTTTATGTTATATAAGATGGGGGTGATTCTCATCTTGTAAGCATGAGGATTGTAACAGTTTCTATTTTTTTTTTCAAGTGGTATATTGTACTAGATTATAATGTTTGTTTTGTTTAACATAAAACATTAAGTTTTGGATTGATACCCTTTTGTTCCTCTACCTCTATCTCGCAACAAGAAAATTCATTTGTTTTGTGCATTAATTTTATCCTCATAATAAGGATACATTCGATCCTATTAGTTTCAACAAGAAACTAATTCCAACATTAGAATCGTCTAATAATTTTTCAATAAATGTCACATTTTAAGACTTAAATCCTTTTATTATATTTACTTTTCATGAGATATGTTACTTAGAAATTATGATAAATTTGAATAAAAACGAAACATTTTCAAGAAACCATGGATGAAGGTGGTTTTTAAGAAATAGAGAAATGGAGTGAGTTTTCATAAAATGAAAATAAGAATTATTTATTAAATAAAAATAAAAATAATATTATTTTATTAATAAGATATTATATATATGTTTAATTGGATTTAACATATGGTTGGAATGAAAAAAGAATATAGAGTTAAAATCACCCCAATTTACTGTTTTTTTAGTGTCCATAGCGACTCATTTCAAACAAAATTATGATTTCTCCAAAACACAAAATACTCAAATTATTTTTGTTAACAACTATCTCTTTAAATTTGAACATGGATGTTCATATTTCTCATGCGTTTATTTTTCTTTTGGATTTCCCCTTCATCGTTTCAACATAAAAATGATAAATCAGTATAATATGATGATGAAAATAATTGCCGATGTACCCAATAAACTGCAGAAACAAGCTAAAATTACGTAAGCTGACAGTGAATAGTCAATTGTCTGCGATACAATCGAGATCGATCAAAGGGAACGATTTGTTGTAAATCATGTTTCCCCCTTTTTTCCCAATCGACTTCCGATTGCATCATCTCAACCTTGAATCATACTCTTTTCATCCATCCCCAAATCTAACAAGGTTTTGGTCCACCTTTTCCGCCCTCAAAAATGTCACAACATCGCCTAAAGTTAAAGCAGCAGCAGCAGCAGCAGGCCTGTCTCTCCCTTTCTCGGGCAGCGCGTCCTCCCACAGGTGAACTCCTATTTCATTTTTATGTAATCGGGAAATCTAAGAACCCTAATCGCAAAAGCCAAGGATTACAACGATTTTGTCTCGACTTTATTGATTTGGTGAAGTTTCGGGATGGAAAAAAGTAGAAATTTGGTGTCGGTTTTCAAACTAAAATCCACTGTTTTGTTAAAGCAAAGCTTTAAAAAAAGAAGATCTCTCTCCCTCTCTATCTCTCTCTTTCCCTTTCTCTCTCTCTCTCTGTTGTTGTCTTCTTACATGGCGCACACGCACACAGTGCGTGTATGCGATACAGTGAAAGTGACCCAAATAAAGAAAGAAAGAAAGAGTGGTCAGCAGCCTACAGGGTACACTAAAATGATGATGAGGGAATCTCTTTTTCTCTTTCACTGTTAACTTTACCAGTTTCCTCTTCCCTATTTCATCTTTTTTCACACACAAACACTTCTGTCTTGTGATTATCATTTTCTTGTAGTGTTTGTCATGCTTTTGGACCTGTGTGTGATGAGATGATCTAAAATGTCAGTTCTCTATATGGGTTTTTCTTTAACTGATGACCTTGTAAGTAGTCCCATTCCCCTCTTCTTTCGATTTCACACTTTATGATTTGTTATAAAATGTCAATTCTTGATATGGGTTCTTCGTTCTTAGATGATCTTGTAAGCCTTTTTTTTTCTTTTCCAATCTGTTTGTTTATTTCATTACATTTCTTGATATTTATCGATTTACAGGAGATGAAAGAAGGGGTGGTGGTTCAATTGAAAGACGACTCCGGTTTTGATTTGGAACCGGAGTTTGAGTTTTGGCCGGTTCAACACCCATCCGAACCTTCCCATGAAGATAGACCGGTTCAGTGTCCTATCCCTCACTCTTCCCACCTCATCAATGTAAGTCTTTTCAAGTTTCTTGAATCTTGATAATCGCCAACTGTTCTAATAACTTCTGGTGTTATAGGATGAAAGAATGCAGGATGATCGGTTTTCTGATCGGAAGAGACCGGAAGTTACAGAATCACCGGCGGCCACCATTAGAACAGTTCGGAAAAGGCATCACGACCACACAGATACCATCGCACCATTGCTGCAAACGCCGACTGTGGCTCTTTATCCTCATTTGCATCAGAAGATGAATACGACTGTTTTCAATAAGTTTCATCAAGTTCACAGGTTTGAGTCTTGAAATAGGAGATCAAAATCTGGAATTGATGCTTAAGTTGCAGGTTTTTATGCATTCTGATCATCATGGTGTTTTATGACAAGTTAACTTTTAGGTTTAAGGTGATGATAATAGTGGATTAGATGATGTACTTTGGTGAAACTATTTACTATTTATGTATGTATAATACGATATGAGCTACTGTTTTGTTGTCCATGTGTTATCCGACTTTTGACCACTAATTTCATAAGATTGATGGATCACCAAACGGTTTGTTTAAATTCAAAAAGTAATAATTGGATATTGATCAATACCAAATTCATTTAATTCATCATTAACACTTTCTTTTGTTTGGTAAGGATGAAGAAAAGAGCAAACTACAATTTTGGTTTCTTAGACGACCGACCCTTGACATTATTTTTTTTACACTTCTATAATCATTATTTTTTTACACTTCTATAATTTATAATTATAGTGTAAAAGATATTGTAAATACTAAAATCTTCCAACCCATTATATTATATTTAACACTAAAAAGAATATTTTAGATATATTGTTCTTTAATCAACGTTATATTTAGTGTTGCATTAAAATCCAACATTGTATATAGTGTTACACTACATTATATATAATGTTAGGTATACTATAGGGTTGGAGCATTATATTTAGTGTTGCATTAAAATCCAACATTGTATATAGTGTTACACTACTTTAATATAATGTTAGGTATACCGTAGGGTTAGAGCATTATAGTGTAAAAATAGTTTTTTAGTGTAGGGTTGAAGATGTCCTCCATTGGGCATCCTTTTTTTTATTTTGGTCCCAAGATATAGTTTATAATTTTGATTGCTAGTTTAATTTTTTGTATCCATTTTGGTTATTGAATGGTTACTTTTAAGAGAAATTTCTAAAAATAAATAAATTACAACCTCAAATGCCAAAAAAAATAATAATAATAATAACAAAAATAACCAATCATCTCCAAAAATGATCATCAAGTCCCCCATAAGAGCGGCTTCTAAGAAGTGATATCTATTTAAAGGGTCAAACTTTTCATTTTAGTTTTCCGGTCCGCATAAGCTACTCTACGAACTCACTCTATAAATATCCGGTCTGCAAAAACATAAATTAAGAACGACTCCGCAAAAGACGAACAAGTTCGATAGATGTTTTACTGCGGCCTCAATATTCGTACTGCAAACTTAGTAAAGCGTACAAACAGGTAATGAGAAATCAAAATTCGTGCATAAATTATGACTTTTTTTTCTCATATAAAATCGTAGAATTTATTAAAAAATCAATTTCGTTTGAAAGAAAATAGGATAAAATTCATTTTTCATTTCAGAAATATGAACGAATTTTTTGAAATTGTTTGTATAGGGTCTTGGCAAACAATAG